AGGCAGGAGGTAGGAATGAGTCACAGGGTTGTGCCCTTGGGGGACTGTGACTTATCCCATCTGCTTCTGCTTCCTGGTCTCTAGGATGCGACAAATGTCTTCTGCGCCCTGTGCTTCTCCTCCACAACAATCCACCTTACCCGAGCCCCACCCAATGAAGCCCCTTGTCCTTAGACCAAAACCTCTGAGACCTGGGTCAAAATAAGTTTTTGCACACACCTGTAACCCCAGCCCTGGGACTCCAGGCAGGAGGCGTGCCGTGAGGTCAAGGCCAGCCTGCGCCCACGGGGAGCTAAATACCAGCCTGAGCTACACAGCACAGCAGGCTCCCCCGAAGTAAGTCCTTCCAGTAAGCTGTGCAGCTCAGGAGTTCTTCTTGGCCAGTCGAAGTCAGTTATCACAGTCGTAACCTCCGGCTTAGTCAGGCAGGAATGTTGCACTTGCCTCGGGGGTTTTGTCCACCCTGAACTATGGAGAGCCAGGCATGATGACACAGGCCTGTAATCCCAGTGCTCTGGGGGCTGAGGCAGGAGGATTAGAAGTTTGAGCCCAGCCTGAGCAAGTTGGTGGTTTAGTAAGACCATGTTTTTTTAAAAAAAACACAACTAAATAAATAAAATAAAATAAAAATGGGGGTGGGAGGTTAATGAAAGAAATTTATGGATTCGTCTGTTCTCTGTAATATAAGGCTACTCCCAAAGAGAATGACCCAGAACAAAGGAGACAGATGCAAAATAGAGACCGACAGAAGTGGTTTCTAGTTTTTGTGGTACTGGGGATTAAACCCACAGCTTTCCCACTGAGCCACACAGCCCCTTTCTTTTAAAAAGAAGAGGTTTAGGTTTTTTTTTTTTCTTTTTCTTTTTTTTTTCTGGTATGGGAGAGGCTTAGTTTGACTCACTGTTTGGGGTCTTGATCCATGACAGATGGCTCGGGCCGGGGAGATAGCTCAGTAGAATAAGTGCTTGCCTGGCAAGCACAAGGTCCTGAGTTCAATCCCAGGTACCACTAAAAAAAAAAAATAAAATAAAAATAAAATAAAATTTAAAAAAAAACCCTCTTAGCATGATAGATGGCTCTAAGGCAAAAATGTGGTGGAAGGGTACAGCCTAAAGAAGGGGCTCTCATCATGGTGGTTAGGGGGCAAGGAGAGAAGCAGGTGGGACAGCCACCCTCTGAAGTCAGTGGCCCCCATTTTCCAGCTAGGCCTGCTTCTTCATGGCACCTTTATTTTATTTATTTTGTTGCTGGGATCGAACTCACAACTTTGTGCTTGCCAGGCAAGCACTCACGCCACCGAGCTATCCCCCCGGCCCTTCATAGCACGTGTAGCTGTGAACTCACCAACAACCAGGGTAGTTTCCCCCAGAGCCAGCCGCCTTTCCAAGCAGCTTTCTGAACACATGAGCGTGTGGGGGGCCTTCTAGACCTAAAGCATAACCTTCTGCTCCTGGCCTCCAGCAGGCTCCGGTCTGTCTGTAAAAGTTGCCAAAGACTTACGGTTCCGGTGCCGCTGAGCAGTTCCAGTCCAAGGCCTCCTCTGAGACTGAGAGCTGGTCCTTAGCTGCGAGCACCTCACAGTAGCCACAAAGTGGAGAGCCTTTGTCCTTTTAAAATTAGTTTTTAAAATTTATTAGCCAAAGGGGTCGGGGAGATGGCTCAGTGGAATAAGTGCTTGCCTGGAAAGTTCAAAGGCCTGAGTTCAATCCCCAGCTCTGCCAAAAAAAAAAAAAAATTATTAGCCAAGTGTGGTGGTACCTGCCTGTAATCCCAACACTTAGTAGGCTGAGGCAAGAGGACCACCATGAGTTTCAAGGTTAGCCTGGGCTACAAAGTGAGCTCAAGGCCAGCCTGAAGTATATAGCAAGACCCTGTCTCGAAAAGACCAAAAAAAGAAAAAAGAAAAGAAAAAGAAAGAAAGAAAGAAAGAAAGAAAGAAAGAAAGAAAGAAAGAAAAAAAAAGGAAGGAAAGGAATAAACCATGATGGAGGCAACATTGGAAAGACTTTTGTCAGTGGAGCTGACGAGCTGTCAAGAAGCAAGACTCATAACCCCGTCAAGCTGCTGCTGAGAACTCTGGCCATCCTGCCCTCTACATGGGTGTAGAATAACCTACACTATGCTCAGAGACCCAAGGGGCACACCCAGAGGCCAGGAGATTCTTTTTTTTATCATGTATACATGTATGTATTTGGTGCAGGATCTCACTACAGCTTGGATCTCTCCTGTCTCAGCCTCCCCAGCACTGGGATTACAGGCATGCACCACCACGCCTGATTTCAGTGGCTGGAGGATCCAGCACCAGCAAGGCATGCAGTACTGGGGATCGAATCCAGGTCCTTGTGCTTGCCAGGCAGGCGCTTAGACCACCGAGCTATCTCCCCAGCCCCAAGAGATTCTTTTCTATGGATCTAAAAAAACAGAACAAAACAAGCACAGGCATTCTTTTCTGTATCCCTATTGGTGAGAAGACCTCGCCATACAGCATCTATTGTTTCCTGACAATGAAATTCTCTACAGCCGCCTTTTTCCCTCTCTGTGCTCCTGGCCCACTGAAGCTTCCACTTTGTGTTCTTTGGGACACCACGGCTCACACTATACACATGGGTATCTCTCCGATTGCAATTGCTAATGTCCTAAACTTCTGTGGTTTCTGATTTGGACAGCATGGTGCTCCCCAGGTTAAAGCTCGTCCTGGTGTCTCAGCTCCCCACCGAGCCTGGGCCGTGGCTAGATGGGTGTGTTACCCCAAGGTGAGGCACACAAGCCTTCCTGCCCCAGCCTCCCGAAGTGCTCAAGCCCAGGGAAGATACTAGAACCTCAGGCTTCTGATTGATCCGCAGTGTTCGGGGCACACCCTACGGCTGGGGCACCTTCCGGCCCAGGATGTGGAGGACTGGTCCTGCCCATCACCCCCACCCCCCAGGGCTACAAGGGCCCACGGCCGGTGGGGAGGAGCACCGTGGCTCTCAGCTGTTCTTTCCTGTTCCACAGAGAATTGAACCCAGGACCTTGCACTTGCAGATTCCTTAGCTTTATTTACGTCAGCAGGCTGCCTTTGGGCTTGTTTCACTTCCCATCTATTCAAAGGCAAGAGCACTGCCTGCAGAAATGACCCTGTCCCCTGTCACTTCCAATCGAGTTTGTTTTGTTTGTTTTTTCGGTACCGGGGATTGAGTTCAGGATCCTGTGCTTGCCAGGCAAGCGCTTGGTCTACTGAGCCATCTCCCCGGCCCTCCGTTTGAGTGCTATAGAAGATACGGACCTTGTTTGGGAAATCCATGACCAGGTGGCCAGACAGCGGGAGAGACATGCGCAGCGCTCTGCTCTGTGGAGTTGCTGTAGGCCTGACTCCTAACCAATTGTTTCAAATGGATTATATATTGAAGTCTTTGCTTCTCTGTAACCGTAACTGGCCCAGCATGCTGTCCTGGAACCCACCATCCTGTCCCTCAGGCCCGCTAGCGTCTAACTACCTGCCTAACATTCATATGGGCCACATTGTGCATTCTGACCTTCTTACCCTCCATCTCCCTCCATCCTTACAGAAGTTGATTTGTGATTTATGAACTCTGTCTGTCTGTCTGTCTGTCTGTCTGTCTGTCTGTCTGTGGCAGTAGAGATTCAACCCAAGGCCTCATGCATGCTAAGCAAGCACTCTATCGCTGGGCTGCATCCCCACTGCCTTTTTATTTTATTTTGTGGTAGGGACCCGCTAAGTGTCACAGGCTGGCCACCCACTCGCCGCCTTTCTGACCCAGTTGCCTTAGCAGCTGGGATTACACATGTGAACCACCAACGACTCTTGGCTTGCTATTGTTCTGGGCCAAAAGTAAAGGTTTCCTACAATGCTGCTTTGGGCCTCAGTCTTGTTATTTCACTTTTTGCAAGGGGAAATGGACATATTTGGGGCTCAGAAATGTGTAACCCAGACCAGGTGTGGTAGTGTGCTCCTGTAATCCCAGGGCTGGGGAAACCGAAAACAGAAGGATCATTATGAGTCCACGATGCCTAGTGAGATCCTGTCCTAAATACATTTGAAAAAAAAAAATGTGTAATCCAATGCCAGGCATTATGGGTACATATAATCCTAGCTACTTGGGGGTCTGCAACAGGAGGGTCTGGAGTTCATGGCCAGCCTGGGCTATTCAGTGCAAACTTTTTTTTTTTTTTTAATTTATGTGTTTGGTACAGGGTCTCACCATGCAGCTTGGACTCTAGTGACCCTCCTCTTTTCAGCCTCCCCAGCGCTGGGGTTACAGGTGTGCGCCACCACGCCCAGACTCATTTGTCGACTCAGTGTGCCCTGGCAGCGGGGCCTGCACGGCATGCGGGATCAGGCATTGAATTCTGGTTCCTGCGCTTGACAAAGCAGGCACTTAGTCCACTGAGCTATCTCGCCAGCCCCCAAACTTGTTTTAAACAGTTGCACACTCAGATTATTTGGTCATTGGGAAATCATTCTAGTGTATGCTAGGAGTTATAGGGTATGACCTTCCTCCTTTCCAAAATATTAACATTTAGCCCTGGGAGGCTGAGGCAGGAGGATTGCTTCAAGTTTGAGTTTGAGGCAGCAAGATGTTTCCATTTTTTCCTTCACAAATCAACATTTGGTTAGATGGGTGGGGATTTCTTTCTTCTTTCTTCCTTAACTTTTGAGACAGGGTCTCACTGTGCAGGTCAGGCTGGCCTTGAACTCACAGTAATCCTCTGCCTCAGCCTCCTGAGTTCTGGGATTGCAGGTAGGTGCCACTGCACCTGGGTAAGGTGGGGAAAGTTTCCAGTACACTGCCAAAGAAGATACAGTAGTTTACAGCGGGAAACGGGGAAGGGGAACCTGTAGTGACAATCAGGAACAGTGCCACAGAGGAAAAGCTCTCAAGGAATAAATGAGTCACGCGTGCATTGTTCTTCAACAGTTTTTCTCAAAACCTCTGCTGACCCTCTCGAGAGGATTGTTTTCCTGCTGGAAGCCATTGGTTCTGGGTTCCTGCTCTGAGGCAGAGAAGCCTGGTTCTTCTTTTTCCCCGTTGAAAAGTGTCTTCCTTGAAGGACAGCAGTAGAGGGAAGCATTTCAGAAACAACGCGACACCCTCAGGACAAAGATAACACAGTTGGGACGGCGTCGTGACTTGCTCCCATCCATGTGGATGGTCGCAGCCCTCTGACTAATGTTTCTGATCCTACTTTAGGACACAGGCAGTGGCCCTGTCCGTAAGGAGAAGCAACGCATCCGGCAGGACTGCCTCTAGGGCCTGCCGCAGAGAGGCCGACAGGGCACACGGGAAGGTAAGGGCCGCCGAGGCAGGAGGGCTGCGGGCCGGGGAGGCGGGGAGGCGGGCCGGGGAGGCGGGCAGACCTCCGCAGCGCCCTCCTCAGAAGTGGATGCCTGAAGGACCCTCCGGGCGATGGACAGACTGGGCAAAGACCGGCCTGTGTTGCAGCCTGAGACCTCCACATCTGAGCCACCAAAGTGTAGGGTAAAGAAGTCTGGGAGAGCCCGAGCTGGAGAGGAAAGCCAGGCCCAGCTGGAGCGTCATACACCAATATCTTGGGGAGGGCCATTACCAGGCTTCAAACAGGAAAATGGAAGACCCTGATTTGTAGCTTAATGAATTCCCTGTGGCTCGGCACAGGATGTGCGTGTGTTTGGGATGCAGGCTGGAAGAGGGTCTCTAAGAGGGGAGGGCATGGCACAAGCTGGAGAGAGCCCGCCAATTCCCGAGCGCCAAGCTCGGGTGGCTCCGGAGCGGCCCTCTGCGACAGACTCCACGGTGTCTTGGGAGTCAGTGCAGGAGGCCCACATTTAGACCGGGCGGATGGACCCCTGGGGGGGCGGTGTGGGAAAGGCAGGGGGACCTCGGGAAGTGTCCACCGACGAGACATTTTGAGTGGAAGCTGCAGACAGGGGGACAAATCCTCACCCTGCCTCAAGAAAGGGATCCGCACCTCCAGACAAACAGGGAGAGTCAGGAATAGGGAGATAAATGTCCCCTGTGCCAGGTCCCCCACCTCCTTAAACAAAGCAACTGCATTCAGTGGTCCCTCAGGAAGGCCAGTCATTTCCTGAGGAGATATCAGCCCGGCCCAGGCCTCATTGTTCTGGGTTTTCCAGCCATGGCCGCCATTACCTGACCAACACCACAGCAGGTCTCTCTGGCGCAACCGGCGGAGCAGCTCCCGAGTTGTTTCTGGTTTTGGCTGAGCCGCTTTCTCATTGGTGGCTACTGGAAAGTGTTTTCTATCCCCAAGGCATGGCCCAAAGGCAGGACTGACTGTACCAGGCAGCCCCGGCTCTCAGGATGTGGTCAGTGTGGAGCCAGAAGAGCACCATGTGGCTGGGAGCCCTGCTGACTCTGCTGCTCTGTGAGTTGTCACTGTCCCCACTGCCTCCCACCCGCCTGAGCCCTTCTGAAACCAACAGATTTCTCCTGTCTCTTCCAGGTTCGCGCCTCCAGAGTCAGGAAAACTGTAAGTCCTGATGTTTCTACCTACCTTCCTCTTTCTTGTCTTCTGTGGCAAATGGCTTGAGGTTGTTTACCAAAATGGAGAATACCTCTAGTGGGACTCTTGGTCGATCCCATCTCCAGTCATCTTTTGAGGAGCTTAGAACAACACTCTTCTAAGCCACGTTCTGCTGGATGCAATCTATAAGCGGCATTTGCACGGGTTTAGAAATGCCTTTTAAAATCTACTTTTGCTACACCATGGACTGGTGTTTGTTGGAATTGGGAAAGTGAGAAGAAACTAGTGATTTGATTTTTTTTTTTTTTTTTTTGTGGCTGTCCTATCATAAATTGTTTGTTTTTATATTCTGCCTCATCCCTAATTGTGAATTTTTATGTCTGGGAAGTAGGAAGGGTTGAAGTCGGGGCTTTTGCTGTGAGCTACATCTCTAATTACTTTTCAGTTTGAGACAAGGTCTTGCCATGTTGCTAAATTGCCGAGGCTGTGCTCAGACTTGATTGTTCGGCCTCAGCCTCATGGAATTCTAGGACTATAGGCATATCCCCCACTATGCCTGGTTTCCTGGTGTTTACTTTAGAGTTTTGTTGTTTTGTTTTTGAGTCTGGGTCTCACCATGTAGTTCAGGCTGGCCTTGAATTCACCATGGAGTCCAGGCTGGTCTCGAATTCAATGATGCTCCTGCCTAACCCACCCAGTGCTGGGATTACAGGCGGGCACCACCAAACCCAACTCTATTTTTGTTTTTCAACCTGTCTTCTGTTTCCTTATTTCCTCCCAATTGTTTGCATTAACAAATCAGTTTGTCACATTCATGAAAACAGAACAGTTAAAATTGGTATTACAAGGGCCGGCCAGATAGCTCAGCTGATTAAAGCCCCTGCTCAGGCAGACACAGGGTCTGGGGTTTGATCCCCAGAGTGCCATGCCACCCTGCCCCCTGGGGCATGCTGAGATGGTGACTGAGACTGGGCATGGTGGTGAACACCCGTAATGCCAGCATTTGGGAGGCTGAAAACAGGAGGATCACTATGAGTCCGATCTGTGTAGTGAGACCCTGTACAGAAAAAAAAAAAAAATGGTATTACAACTTTTTTTTTCCTTGAAAATGATTTTTTAAAAAGTACCACATTCTCATGATCCATCTCCCTGTGAGACCACAGCTGAATCTGTGCTCCCACACGGGAAGCGGGTGCCACTTGTCTTGGAAGCCTGGTTTGCGTCTGCTTTAAGCGCTCGCTGAGTGTGAACTTCCATCTTGAGATAAGAGAGCTTTGTTCTGCCTCATCTGCGATTGCACAAAGAGGGGGCTCCACTGGGCATGGGGTTGTGAATGGAAGGGGAGGCCAGACACACGACCCGGTCGGGAGTCGCGTCAGTCAGCCTCGAGCAGGAGGTTCAGCTGGCCGGCAGGCACATAGCGCAGCTCTTGGGAGAGGTACTAGGGTGATCCCGGGTTGAGTGGAGGCTGAAGCCAAGGTCGCAGGCAGCGCCGGGCTAGGGTGATAGCCAGTGTGGCGCCTAGCCCACAGGGGTCCCTGCTCCAATGTCCAGCTGCCTCCTTGGGGGTAGGACCCACCCACGTGCAGGCAGGAGGTCCATGACCTTCGGGTCATCCCCCTGACCCCACAAGCCTCAGCCGGGACTGACCTGTGCGTGGAGGAGCCATTTAGCAGGACATCAGCACCAGGACTTCCATTATCTAAGCTTGACCAACCAACAGAAGCAGAGGCCTGGCACATGTCATTAAGACTGTTCTGACCTTGCCTCTTGGAGCTTTTTTCCCCGTGCAAAATGGGCTGATAGCCGGGTGTGATGGCAAATGCCTGTAATATAGGCACTTGGGAAACTGATGTAGGAGGATCTTTCCAAGTTTGAGACCGGTCCGGGCTACGGAGTAAGCTCAAGGCCGGCCTGAACTGCCTGGCGAGACCCTGACTGAAAAAAGACTACACAACAAAGAAAAGACAACAGAATCTAAGGCACGGGGTGGGGTGAGGTTGCAATTGCGCAGAAGCGGCAACTCTCCTGCCGCAGAGGCCGGGTAAGTGCTAATGGCGGCGCTACGCTGCCCTCAGCGCTTTTGCAGTCGCAGCTCCCGTCTCACACCTTCGCTGAGGCCCACCCTGGACACACTGACCCCAGCGCTTGTCCTGGCAATGCCGGAGGACCAGGCCCTGCTTGCAACCCCCGAGAGGCTGGGCCTCTACTCCCTGGCTCCCTCTGTCCCCTTCCCCACCACAGGTGCCAAGTCCACCTCGGGGGCCCAGCGGGCACCCTGATGGCTCGCTCAGGCCCTGCTCCAGGGAACTCAGATCCAGAGGTCACAAGTCCCTGCCAGGGTCAGCACTAAGCTAGCAGAACGGTGCTGGGTTAGGCCCGGTGCTGATGGCCGCCTGCCCGCCTGCGGCTCCCGCCCTGTGGCCCAGGCTC